ACCACAGAAGGAACGTAGCGATTGAACATCTGTTGGTGGAGGCATCTTCCTTATGGCTTCGATGTTTGCCGGATCTGGTCGACGGCCATTCTTTTCAAGGATAAAACCAAGGTATTTGATGGTCGGAGTGAAGAAAGTACATTTGTCTTCACGAATCCGGAAACCATAAGACTGGATACGACCAAGCACCTCCTCCAAGCGGTCAAATAATTCCTTTGTTGTTCGGCCCATTACGATAATGTCATTTGGGTATGCGGTGACTCCTGCCAACTCCTGCCATCCATCAGCTGTTGAAAAATGGCTGAGGCCGTTTTTAAGCCAAAGGGCAAGCAATTGTACTGGCACAGCCCACGGTGGGTGTTGCTCGTCAATGGCTCTTTCGAGTCCTCGGCAGCATCTACCTGAAGGTATGCATCAGACAGGTCAAGCTTGGCAAAGCACCTGCCACTACTCAGTTTTGCGAAGATGTCTTCCTGTAATGGCAATGGGTATTGGTGGTCGTGAAGCGCAGCGTTAAGACAAGTTGATAAATCTGCGCAGACGCGTACTTTACCATTCGCTTTCTTTACTGCAACAATGGGTGCGGCCCATGCGACATAGTTTACAGTTGCAATGACGCCAGTTCGTACTAATCGCTCCAGCTCTTGCTCAACCATTTGCATCGCTGCGTACGAGACTGGACGTTTGGCTTTAAAGACTGGCTTGGCTCCTGGTTGCAGGTACAGCATCGGTGTGAATTTGGTGCAGTGGACTAGGCCATCTTGAAACAAGGGCCAAATTGTTGTTGTGTTGAAGGCTTTCCTTGATGCGACTGCATTCTCTCGAATTCTGTGGCAGATCTGATTCAATGGAACATCGAGCAGTCGCAACTTTTCAATCCAGTCAAGCCCAAGAAGGTTCAGATTTGGCCTTTCTGATATGCTAACCGTCCAAGTTTCTTCCACACCGTTGAACGCCATTGCGCAGGTAATTTCAGCGATTAGGTTGAGCACACCTCCGGATGCGTTGTGGGTTATTCTGTTAGACTTGATCATTGTCGGCCTCTTTATATGGTTCCAAGTGTTCCTGGAAATGATTGTGATGTCTGAGGCCGTGTCAAATTGCAGCTTCGTTGGGATACCGTTGATTAACACGATGATGAATCGTCGTCGTGGCTTAGGTTCACTTTGAAATGCGGCAGTTACCGAAAGCGATTCTGCACCATGCTTTTGAGTGTTCTTCGAAGGGTGGAACTTCTTCGTGTTCTTCGGCCGGGCCTGGCTGCAGAATTCTTCTTTATGGCCCCGCTTACGGCACTTTTCGCGGATGTGGCATTTGAAAGGGCAGAAACGAGCAAAATGCCATTCGCCGCACGACCAGCAGGCTGTAGGTGGCTTGTTCGGGGCCCTCTTGAACGGTTTGCTTCGGCTGACATTCCTGGGATTTTTCACAGCGTGAACGGCATCGGATGGTGCAGTGCGACACTGTTCGATCAGGGCAGTGTCATGCTTCAAAGTGAGCAGTCGCTTGCACTCGCCAACAAGAGCCTTTAGTGTCAAATCTGGGTCTTGATCAAGCTTATTATGAAGCCTTGTGCGGATCTCAACATCACAAGGGGACTGCAGAGCACGGACGAAAATGATACACTTAAATTGGTCGCCTGTCAAAGATCCTAGCTTGAAACGCTCACACTCGCGGTTAACCATGTCAGCTAGCGCCCCATAATCGTCCGTTTCGCGTTTGACTATCTTTAGGCATTGATAACGAATACTGAACAGAGAAGCTGGCTCACCAAATATTTCACTGAGCTGTGACACCGCTTCGTCGAAAGTTAGGTCCTTTGGTTTTTTGAGCAGAATTTTGCCGATGAATCTTGAATCTTCGCTGCTGCGGAGCTTGCGAAGTCACAAACGCACTTTCCAGGAATCCTCCTGACGACTGAAGTCCGCCCGGAACATATCTTCCCGGCGTTTGAACCATGCTTCAAAAGTGCAACCGGAATCTGCGCCATAATTAAATTCACTGATCGGGTTAGTGAGAAGAATTCGCCTGCGTGTCCCGTGCTGCTGCTCCTGCAGACTGCAAACTCAAGCAATTCGTCAAATTTTCAATCATTTTTATTTGTGCTTCCATGTTGGATTTCTGTTGCAAAAGTGGCTTCCGAAATTGCTCAACGGAAATATTCACGATATTTCCAGTTTTCCTCCTCGCCATTTGTTAAGTCTTCTCACTTGTTGCAATTCCGGAATACGCACTGAATCTATTTCGCACGACCTCAAATCCAAACAAAGGAAAAAGTCAGAACGACCTTGCTCAAAATAACGTGTTAACCGCAGTCAAACTGGAGCTGTACAAAGGCGGCAGACCATGGCCATATTTACAGGTCGCCTCATGACCTTCGACTTCTAGAATTCGAAGGTCAGCTACCAAGGTTTGTTGTTCCACATAGATTTGGCCCATCTTCAGGAAGGTTGGTGGTCAGGCGTAGACCTTAGAACATTCCAAAACATTCGAAATCGATGCGCCAATCCTTAATCGATTAGTCGCTAAAATACAGGGTTTTCCGTGACATTCATCATTTCTCCCGAACACATAGCATCAGCTCATAGAACTGGTGCACTGCTGTCGACGATGATAACGATACATATGTAGCTAATCGATATATTTATCGGTATCTCAGTGCGCAGTTCAACTGAGTGATCTGATCAAATCGTACATTGGGATCGCATGAAGCGTCTACTTGCTCCAGTTATTCAAAACGGCTACCGAATGAATTTTCGGAGTGATCGATTGATTGCATGTTGTAATAACGGAGAAGTTGACCGTAGTGATAAGTACAAATACTGCGTAGTTATCTCTCTATTTGTTTCACTTCCACGCTCCATTTGGCAATGTGCCAGTGTAACTTGGAAGCAAGTAAGCCAACACCGCTTTAACTCCTCTTCCTCTCCGTTGTCATGCTCATCAGGATAGGTGCTGCGACTATCCAACCCATCCCACCATTCAGCTCATTCCAGTCCGACACTTTTATCAGTTTGGATTAATATGCCTCAAGAGAGCATGAGGTAACTGAAAACGAAGAGCGCTGTGTAAATCACTCAAGCAAATCGCAAAATGACCAACATGGATGGTGTCGTTGGCACATAGGGTGCAAGGAGGAGACGAGAACGTGGTTCAGGTTTATCATGCAGCTGTCATCATATCCCAACGCAAGCGAAGCAGAGCAGAAGCACGGCAGACCGCATATATTTACTACAGCTGCATTTGCTTGCAGTGTCATGGCATATAGATGTGATTGTATACCAGGACGATGCGTAGTATGCTACACAACAGCCGATCAACTAGCAGAGGGTACTGAGGCGGAAAACATTGAGGTTTATAGTAACTAAACGAAGCGCTTGTAAATCAGGAACGTTCGGGATGGAGATATGACAATTATCGACAGGACTAGATCTGATGGGACAGTGCACATTCACGTTCTGGGCTGTGGTCACTGAAACACTCCTCGCTGTAGGACAAGGATAGAGTGGGTCAATTGCATGGAAATGTGAACATGGATGCGTAATTGGAGATTAGCTAAAACAGATAAGGAATCTTCGACTAGAACTAAGTTGTAATACCAGAGGGGTTCGAGGTAGGGATATTGCCAGGAAACTGCTGCTGAGATGGTTACATAACGTCGGAGTAAGAGGGTGGACTTAACGATTGCTCTCTTAATTGGCCATCCGACCGGATCGCCCAACATCAAATTGATGTTGCTCGGAGGGGATTTGAGAATGCTAGAGTAAGGTGGTGGGGTGCGCTTAAACTTCCAGGGGAGACATTCCGTGATATTGATCCGCACGACGATTAGTCGTGATTTTGTATGTCCTGTTGTCCGGCCACGGTGGAGTGTGGACGTGAACCCCCTCTACTGATTGATGCCGTGGTCTACGGACCAACGGCGGTGGGATCAAAAACGTTCGATCACCGTATCCCCCGTCATTCACTTTGGGTAGGGTGTACCCGTCACGCACGATCGTCAGCGTATTGCGACGTTGACAGGCTCGTCTACTGAATAGGTCGAGCCGGATGTGAAGCGACAAGCGGTCCACAAGCTTGGCGACGATTTTGAGCCACAGCTGCGGTGAATCGAAGATGTCGCACAGGCACTAGCGCACAAAGAGCATTTTGCACATGACGGCCAGCTGCCTTATCCGTTTATAAGGTCGATTTTTCGCTTAGCACATTGAGGGAATACTTGGCATACAGTTAGGGACAAACTTTTGGCTGACCGGTGGTCAAAATGCGAGGCAGCTTTTGGAACCAACAACGAGCATGATAATTTCATTACCGAGGAAAGGACCCATGGGGAACACACAATTTCGTCAAATTGGGTACCGCATCTCTAGTCAGTGGGCAGATCCTTCAACAACATGGCGCCTATAGCAAATCTTCGGGAAGACAGTGCGGTATCCGTGGTGCAGGGCGCGTCACAAAAACAACGCGTGACATACCGGCGGTCAGAGCGGCTTTCAACATGTCGATCTGTCCGATTATCAGGCACATGGATGCAAACGATACACAAAGAGACTTGTCTATCTTGCCCTCTATCCACCAACGCCGTTCTCCAATTATTTATTTGAAATTTGTCATCATTATAACTGATAATATAGACAGACATCATATATCCTGTACCCTCGCCATACTGCTGGGCGGTCAGCAATTCTAACCGCGCCCCACCCTACCGAGATTAGGTTGTTACTTTTGATGTATAACGGATGCTGCAATCCATATGCTTGAATGATTGTTTGGAATAAGCGCAACTGCTCTAGTTCTATCTATTCTTTCGTCGTGCAAGGAACATTTTCGGCCCCAAAACAACATCGGGAACTGTTTTTTTCGGAATATGTTCGGATATTCTGTACTCCAGTTTATCCCTATTTCCTCGTTTGTTTTTTGCTATTTTGTTGTCCTTGATTTTCCCTAGTGTTTCCGTAGACTATCATGCGCATCCCCTCCCCCTCGCATTTCGATCGTAGCGACACTCGCGTCGGAATACTGCCACCGCCTCCGGTACCCCCCTGTTCAGTGTGCATGATCGGATCTCTCCTGTGGTCACTACTCGCCAGAATTTCGACAGCCTACTCATTCCTCCAGATCATCCGAGCCGTTCCCCAGTGGACACATACTACATCAATGAGACAACTCTGCTTCGTAGCCACACTTCTGCTCATGAATCCGACTTGATCCGCTCCGGATTGGACGCGTTTCTTCTTGTAGGTGATGTGTATCGGAGAGACGAAATCGACTCGTTACATTACCCGGCTTTTCATCAGTTAGAGGGTGTGAAGCTGTTTACGGCGGCTGAGGTGAGCACACATGCGTTCATTGATGCCATTTTTTCGTCCATTTGCACTATTTTTCACTCTTTCCCCGGGTGCGTCTACCGGAGTAACCGACGTATTCATACCTGTAATCGTCTACTGTCCGTTTCTCTCTCTCTCTCTCTCTAATTTCTTGAACCACTTTGATGTCTGAATTTTTGTACTGTGCTGCGTGTTATGTGCTAATTCCACTTTAACAGTGCGGAAGACATCTAAGCTCCCGGAGAATTACTTCCTTTGAGGTCTCACACTCGCGGTCAGTAGCTCATATCTGCCGCCTTATCTTGTTCAGCTTTCTCTCCACTGGATTCTCGGTGATAGAAAGTATCTGCACGGTACTATTCTTGGTGTTTGCTTGAAGATGGCTCTAATTCAAGTGTGCGTTTACCACGCTTGTTGATCCGAAAAATATTAAGTCACTTTGCAACGTTTTTTACGTCATATTAATTTGTTACGGACGTCGCAATTTTGATTGTTGAGCAGGCTGTCATCCTTTTTACTGCGTTTTTTTCAACAAATATCACATACCATATGGTACCAGGCCCAAATGATCTGTATTTCAATAATCCGGCTCTGCAACAGTCTGGGTGGCTGTTCGTTTCCAAGCCAAACTGTGCACCCAGTAATCACATGAAAGCTGCCCATAAGCGCACTGCGATCGAATGAACCAACAGCAGCTGTCTCCTTGCGGCAAAATTCTCTATCCCACCGCACACACCAAGAGGTCTCCTAGTTGGTGTACCCCAAAACAGACAATGGACCTTACGCCGGATATTGATGCTCAGTGGGTTTACCAAGCAGTCGAGCGACGAGGGGAAGTATGTGTCCGAGACTTACAGTACGTCTATGCATCGCGCCGACGCTTAGATGTCCCGCGGTCGCCTACATCCACGCAGATTCGAACTGGTGAACTCTGGGTTACGAGGCAGATGCCACATCCCTTAGGCCACTTACCGACCCAACTTGTTATAATAATAAATATAGTAATATTAAAGTCTATCCTTGGGTTTACGAAACATTCATTTTTTGCCGTGCTCCATTTTTTAACCATTGTTTCGTATAATATACTTGGCATCTTTCAAACGTTAGGCAGAAATAGAAATCACGCTTTCAACCATCATGGTTGTTCAGTTCGAAGCTCCGAATTGGCACAGAGTAATTAGTGGCGTCCTGACAGAGAATTCCGTGTACAGAAGGAACCAAGTTTTCCCCGGGAGAAGGATCTTTGGAACATAGCACCTAACGTATGCTAACATTTTCTATACATTCTGACGTTCTAAAAAATGTGGTGAAACACTAAAGTGCATGTGGGCCGTGACAAACAGAGAGGGAGGTTTATTTCTTGCCTGTGAGGCGAATGTGGTTGTCGCTTGTCAACTGGCTCAGGCATTTTGGTATGACTGTACGCTAGGCGTAAGCGAGTAAAAGAAAAAATGAAAAAGAAATATTACAAATAGGGATGCAGATGTTGGAAGCAGAATCGGTTAGCTTCACATTGTTGCCTGACATGTTTAGATGGGGACAGCAAGGGAAGTGCAGCAGAGTAGGGAAAGAACGAATAGTAAAAGTGAATGAAGATGGACATACTCAGTAAGTGTTTCCTTCTCAGCCCACACTTTTCTGTATGGTTGTAAGGTAGGCGTGGCTGAGGAGGCAGAATATGAATACGGGAGACAAAAATGGTTAGCTCATTCTCAGTTTGCAATTCCTCTGTAATCCACTCTTATTGGTGTGTTTACGAGATATGCTTTCCCGAGTAAAGGAGGGCAGAAGGTCGGGTAAAGAAGAGTGAAGGGGGTTCTGTCAACTCTTTATCTACTTTTCTATACTCCTCTTCAAGAGTGCTTGGCCAAGTAAATACACTGTGCATAGCATATCTTATGTATATTTGTAATCAACACGCTTACGTCTCAGCCCCCTCCTTAAATAGCATTTTTTCATTGCAATTTAATTGCAGCTATTTTTACGTATTGCATCGCTGGTCAGTTAGAAGCTACTCTTTTGAACGCTGGTTGCGGTTCGCATGATCTTATGTCGACAGGGAGGTGGTTTGAGATTTCAGTGTATTTGTCTAATTAGAAGTTTTTTCGAACATTGGTTCACATTTTGAATACCGGGTATGTGCGCTTGGTATTTCTTATTACGTATCTACATTCTAGTTTGAAGTGAATGGTAATATTTGGTTCGAATACACGCTTACGGACCAACCCAAATCAATGTTAATCCTAGTTTCATGCGTCTTGTTCACAGTGGCTTCAGTTGTAGCATCTTACGACAACCGAAGTAGTGAGGTTTGGATGAGGACGTATCATCTGGTGTTGCACCTGTCACTAAATTATTTTTGGTGTTGTCTGCTCGTAACACCGCGTTCCACAATCGATTTCGGGCTTATCTGCGCTTTGTGTGGATCAGTAACAGGACTGCGACGCAGAGATCGCTAGCTGACACCGCCTTTACGCGAGATTTTTTGTGATCAGCTCGGCCCTACCGTTCCAATTGCTCTCCGTGTATATCTAGTGAGCACTTTTATCCTCCAATATCACTTACGTTGGTTAGCATCAGTGTAACTTGGCAACTTCGTTGTCTACTTACTCAGCGACCTCGTTAGACCGCAATTTCGCCTAACCCTGGATGATACTTGGGTAGCTCCCAATTTGTAATCTCGAAATATTTACATGCGTTCGGAAATATCATAGTTGCACTTGGAGATTTCCGCTGCCCCCTATTCATTTCGTCATCGTCGGTGCTGGAATATTCTACCTGCTTTGTTGGCAGTCTTATTAAGATTTAACCCTTGTTCCTTACAGCACCTCTGCTCACCAATTTACTTTATTTCTTGATCATGCTCGACTCACAAATATATAATATTGTCTTTCGATACAAGCTTCACTTGTAGCTCGCACGTAAACGTGCTTTCCTAAGTAGCTCCGATTAATGTGACCTAAAACCACACTCCGTTGTCTGCAACAATGCCGACCATTGATAAAAATACAAGTTAGATCTCTTGGACTACAATATCTTTTAACAGATAATATCACGAGAACTCATCTGACGTTTTCCTCATCTGATTTTTTCTCTCTCGCGAACTAAAGCCTGTCATTCGGGAGTGGTATATCAAGATCTGCTTCGGCCTGTTTCACCTGTACAAACTCTCAACGATAGATTTTCTTCCATGTTACTTTAGCCACTCCGACGGAAAAACTGACTATAAGTGCGAAATGATTACCCGGGTCAAACTCATCTCCTTGGTATGCTTGGACGACCTTTACACTGTAAGTGTCTCGTAAAACCCCCTCTCCCCTTTACCTATGGGATCTATTGGTGAACTTGCTCGTTAAAAGCCCCATAGACCGAAGAGCTTTTGTGAGCGTCGACCCTTCCTACGCCGAACGCATTTCCTCGTCTCCAACTTCCTTCGCCACAGTACAGAACCATCTTATCGGTCCTTGTTGTTACCTGTAGAACATGGTGTAGCCATATTAACTACATCTTTCTAATTTCCCATTAAATATTTTTATGAGCTACTTTCAGATCAATTCATATTGCCCTATGCTTTGATATTGCCTCCTGGCTACACCCCTCCATTCAAATGGAGGATTACTGAAAGCCTTAAGAAGTTCTCATTCTCTACTCTCTCGGGGACGTTGGTCAATATTAATCACCTTTGGAATAGATCATGTATTCTGCGGCGTTGTTCGTTGCACAGCTTTAAGTTAGATCTCGGTGATACCGTCGGAACTGCTTGACCGTCGATGAGCCTTACTCGCTGTTGCGATGCAAAATGAAGTCCGTTTCTCAACAACTGGTGACCACAGAGCTGAAATCCGATTCATCTACTGAGGACAGCTGCAGGTTGTTTCATTTCACCAATCATCGGATGCAAGCCCTATGTCATCAACCAGATATTGCGCGGGTTAGATGGTGCAAAAATCTGGTTCACTGTGCAGAGCACCTTGCTCTTCAGTTTACTTACACAACGCAATTCTATGTGACGCCTCTATTGTCACCACTTAGTGTCTGGTCTGTTCCCGCAAGTCCCCCGTTACAAAGATTCGAAACAAATCCCGATTTTGAAGCATTCCTGACAGTCTTGCTTATACCTTTTGTAAAGCTATAATGTCCTCAAAGAAATCCAATGTTCACGAAGGTTTGGGAAACGGACGAGAATATTCCTGACTCATGGAGCGAATCATCTTTGTCCCCATTCACCAAGATGGCTCCTGCAACAAATGAAGCAATTATCGAGGAATCTCTCTGCTCTTTGTTGCGTCCAAGTTTTTGTGTCCATTCTGCTTTGCAGGCTTTCAGCTACTCAAGGGAGTTTGTCTCGGCAGTAATACGCCAACCATGCAGCGATCAAGTCTCCAAGCTGCATCACATGCGCCGAAGGTCAACACGGGTATTTGGGTCGTTTTCAATTTAGCAGTTAGGTCTGTTAACCGTCCACTAAGGAACGGTGTACCCGAAACGTTTACCGCAATCTTAAAAGAACTTCATAGTCACACATCACGCAAGGTTGTGGCAGACTATCTTTTCCGTTTGCTTTCACCAGCGGTGTACGCCAAGGATACTTTGACATTCCCGTTCAATTTTCTCATTGAAGATGTCTTCCAACGAGCACTAAAGGTCCAGAATTGCAGTGTAAAGCTTTCCTTTGGTGCCCTGGTCGCGTACTTGAACTGTGTCTGTTACATTATTTTGATGGGTGATGATCCACAGGCCACATAAACTCATCGTGGTTGGAAGTTGTAAACGGTATAGCTAT